TCGCTTGAGATGGCCCGTCCGTCGCTGCTGCGACGACCACCTTCGACTGGGGCTATCGTTACTACGATGCAACAGAGCTGGAGCTGTGCTTCGCCTAAGGCGTAGCTTCTGGGCGGGCCCGCCGGCCCCGTTCAAACTTCTCCTGCAGGGGCTCTCCTGGGGCCCGCGTGGGATTCTTTCGGGTCCTCCAGGGGCCATCTTGAAGGGCGGCGATCAGTGAGGGGGGGTCCTCAATTGCCTCCCCCCCCCCCCCCTCCACGTCGGAACAAGACTAGCAACCTCCTGTCGAGGAGGTCTTCGGCGCTCTTGGGCGCTGTGGGTGGCCATCTTGGAGCCTTGGTGGCTTCCTCTTGTGGTCCTCTTATGCGATCTTTGAGCCGCCTTGAAGCCTCTGGAACGCATTGGAAGTGAAGCGGCGAGAAGGCAAACACCACTTGACAAGGCAATCACCCAGGTTTCCTCCTCAGCCCATACCTGTTCATCGATGTTCAAGCCGTGATGCTGCGCGGCGCTTGGGAATTGCTGGCGCTACAACCAGAGCTAGACTATGTTATCACTGGGGACATTTTGTACGCAGACGACACTCTTGGCGTCTCAACGCCCCGGGAATCTACAGCTCATGCTTGAATCCATTGTACTTGAATGTCGCAAATATGGCATGGAACTCAGCTGGGATAAACCAGCGCAGATGAACATAGCGTCAATAGGAGAAGTAAGGGTACCCCTGGGCGAACACATTGCATCCGTCACGGAAGACGTCTACATGGGTGGGCTCATATCTTGCGATGGCAGAGCTGGGAGTGAGTTGTCTCGGAGATTGGGCGAAGCAGCGACAATTTTCAAGCAGCTGCAACAAGTATGGTCTCGCGCCGCTATTCCGCTTGCGTTTTGAGCAAGGTCTCGTATTCTTTGGATTCAATATGGCTTCTTAAAACCGAGAGAGCGCGATTAGACGCATTCCATTGTAAATGCACCCAGAAGATCTTGGGTATTCCGCCATCGTTCATTTCCAGGGTCGCCAACGCCGATGTGCTGGACATGGCCGGAGCGAAGCCGCTTTCCGACATATTATCTGACAAGCAAATGACGTTGTCCACCAAGTTCGCAAATTGAAGGGGGTCTTCTTTGGTGACAGCAATGCTCTGCTACTCTGACGGCTCTCCCAGACAATGGGCCTCCCGGAGGAAGCGTGGGCGGCCGCGGCAGCGATGGGTCACCTCGGTATATGAGCTTTTTTAACTATACACAGTATTCGCTCTTTCTCCTGTCCCTGCTCCTGCCCCGCTTCTTCCCTCTCCTCCTGCCTCGCGTCCCGTCTTGTGCTTCGCAGTCGGGCGTCCCATCTTCTGCATCGCAGTCGGACGCTTCTTTCTCCTGCTTCACAGTCGCGTGGCGCTCCTTCTGCCATTTCTTACTGTACAAACCACGAAGGGTCGCCAATCGCGCGCTCTTCTGCCCACGCGTTCTTCCGGATGCTTGGCTCTGTGGTGGTGGTGGTGGTGGGTTTTGTAAAGTTTAGGCCTATCCAGGGTATTTTGGGAGGCTCCGTGCCTACTTTGAGACGTCATGTGGCAGTTTTGGAACCTCCTGGAGGTATGCTGGACACCATGTTTCTTGTGTCGTCTTGGAAGTCATCTTGAGGTCATTTGAAGTCATTTGTGACCTCCGATGCCATTGTTTTTCTTTTCCAGCTCGGGAACGCTAAGAGCTTCCACGAGAAATCCAGGGTGCTTTCAAAACGGCTTCAAGGAACTCAAGACCCTCCAAGATGGTGAAGAAAACCATGATGGCCCACGATATCTCCGATAACGTCAAATCGACTCGCCAGAGGACTTGGCGAGGGCCCCTGGAGGACGCTCCACAGGCCATCGACAGGCAGAACTCATTGCAAATCCTTTGCTGTTGAAGTAATCTTGGCTTCCCCAATTTTTTCAGACTGAAAAGCGTCCAGGCCTGCCCACGATAACTACGAGCCCCTAACAGGCCCCGAAAAGGCACCAAATAAGGCTTCAAAGGGGAACCACGTGAACCCCAAGATGGAGAGCACATTGAAACATGGGAGGAGGAAACGTAGGATGAGGAAGAGGAGGAGGAGCAAACGGGAAACGATGACGAGGAGGAGGAAAAGGAAAACGAGGAGACGGAGGAGGAGGGGGAGGAGGAGATGGAGGAGGAGGAGGAGGAGGAGGAGGAAAAGGAGGAGGAGGAGAAGAGGAGGAGGAGGAGGAGGAGGAGGAGGAGGAGGAGGAGGAGGCGGAGGGGGGAGGAGGAGGAGGAGGAGGAGGAGGAGGAGGAGGAAGAGGAGGAGGAGGAGGAGGAGGAGGAGGAGAAGGAGGAGGAGGATGAAGAGGAGGAGGAGGAGGAGGAGGAGGAGGAGGAAAAGGAGGAGGAGGAAGAAAAATACAAAGAATAATCAGAAGACGAAGACGAAAAATATGAATAATATTAATATTAATGATACGAATACTAGTAATAATAAGACTACTAATAATACTGATACTACTAACAATACTAATAGTAATAATCACACTACTACTACTACTAATAATAGTAAGACTAGTAATCATACTAATACTAATAATACTATTAATACTACTACTGATAATACTGATAAGAATAATATCAATACTAATAATAATAATGATCATAATAATGATCAGGATACTGATAATACTAATAATATAAATAATGATAGTAATACTACTAATAAAACTATTAATACTAATACTAATAACACTAATACTAGTACTAATGCTACTACCACTACTAATAATAATAGTAATAATCGTAATACTAATACTAGTAGTAATAATAATACTAATACTAATACTACTAGTACTACTAGTACTAATAGTATTATTATTCTTATTATTATTATTAATACTACAACTACTACTACTAATAGTAATAATGATAACACTACCACCAATAACAACAATAATAAGAATACTGATAATGATGATAATAATCATAATAATAACACTAGTAGTAGTAGTAATCATAATAATACTAATAATAATACTAATAATAATACTATTATTATTAATAATAATAATCATAATAACAATAATAATAATAATAATAATAATAATAATAATAATAATAATAATAATAATAATAATAATAATACTAATAATACTAATAATAATAATAATAATAATAATAATAATAATAATACTAATAATTACTAATAAAGAAGAGGAGGATGAGGAGGAGGAGGAGGAAGACGAGGAGGAGGAAGGAGGAGGGAGGAGGAGGTGATAGGGAAGGGGGGTGGCAGGGGGAGGTGGCGGGAGGAGGAGGAGGAGGAGGAGGAGGAGGAGGAGGGAGGAGGGAGGAGGAGAGTAGGAGGAGGGGAGGAGGGAGCAGGAAGAGGAGGAGGAGGAGGAGGAGGAAGGAGGAGGAAGAGGAGGAGGAGGGGAGGAGGAGGAGAGGAGGAGGAGGAGGAGGAGGAGGAGGAGGAGGAGGAGGAGGAGGAGGAGGAGGAGGAGGAGGAGGAGGATGGGGGGAGGGCCGTGGTCTCAAGTGGCCTCGGGCAGCGTGCGCGGAGGCGCGGTCAGGCGCAGCGGCAGCCTCTGTCGTCATTTTCGCCAGACCGCTCCGCAATTCAGAAGCCCCCAGATGGCCCCCAAATTTGCCCCAAAAGGTCGCGGTGTGGCTCAGCCTGGGGTGCCGGCGACAGACGGCGCAGCCCTTTCTTTGATCTTTGCCACTTGGAGAAGTCAATCCGGGTCGCACCAGGCTGACGCATGGCTCGCTGATGCGTTGCGCCAGCTGCTTAGAAGCCGTTGCAGATAGCAATATGTGTTTTCGGTCGTAGGAGAAGGTGATCACCCTCATGTTCAACTAGAATACGGTATTATACTTCGGTGACGTCACCCTCACGATGCGGTGCCAGAGGGAGCCCTAATGGTCTCGGTTTAGTAGTCGTTCGGGTGTTTCTCCTCGGGAATTCTCCAGTCCTTACTCCAGGATTCTGGCTGTCCCCTGGCGCAGATCGCCTGAGAGCTCTGGTGGTTGCGAAATGGTGCATGCTCTCTGCGAGCGGTGGTAAGGAGCATAATGCCCAATGAGGGCCAGTCAGGAGGCGCCCAGCAGCAAGTTCGGCAACTTCCACACGGCCTACGCCTGTCAAGTTGAGGCGAACTCAACCAGTGGCCTGCCGCGTTAACGGATCGACGGACGAGCAGGTAGATAAATGGGTTATTGGGCGACGAATGGGAGACAGGGAAGAAACGGAGAGCGCATCGGTACGAATACGAACAGGTCGAAAACCAGCTCAGAGCATGTGGAAGCACGAGAGAAGGAATGATGATAATGACGGCCACAACGATGCGAAGGTAACGAGTAGTCGGCGGCGCGCCGAGGGGGGAAACAAGAGGGGGCAGGCCTTCTCTTAACTTGGCACCGTTCGGACGTGTGCACCTTTTCTTGGCCAGGACCTTTGAGGAGCATCTTGGATCATCTTGCGAGACAACTGAAACGCACGGTGTCGAACAATGACAAAGGGAAGCGGGCGTCCGAGCGACGGCGAGATGAGGCGGCGAAGCCTCGGAGGAGACCTGGAGAGCTTCTGGGAAGGCCATGGACCTCCTGAGCCTTCAGGGATGGGGCCGCCCCCTTCTCTGCCTCCCCTTAAATCGGGCGTGTCCCTCTACGGGAGGAATATTCAAAAATAGCCAAAACATAATATGGGAAAGATTCTTGGAGCATTTTTGAGCATCTCCAAACATTGTTGGTCAACTTTTCATTTTTCGTCCCAATCCGCCGCGGGGACGTGCCCGACCTGTGCCTCCCCCCCTGGGCCGCGCCGCCGATCTGGGGGAGGCCCAAGCCGGAGCCCTGGCCTCGAGTCCCGGCCTCGCGCCAGCGCCCGAAGAGCCCGAGCCCGAGGAGCCGGAGCTCGCGAGACGTCGTTCGCCGCTCGCCCGCCGCCTCGCTGCTCGTCGCTGGTCACGTCGCTCGTCGCCCGCCTGCAGCCTCCCCGGGGCCCCGCGCAGGCCGTCGCCGGCGCAGGCGGAGGAGCCGTGCCAGGCGGAGCCCGCGCCCAGCCCGGAGAGGCACAGGCAGGGGCTCGGAGACTCCCGGTCCCTGCCCTGCCTGGCGATGCCGGAGGCGCCCCTCCCGCCCCGAGGCAGGCGGCGTCTGCCTCTCCGCTTCCCTGCGGGGAGACGTAGTGTCTCTGAAACGGGTGCCAGTTTTCCTCACGTGCCCATGGCCTGTCAACTCGCGTCAGGGTCCTCCGGGTTCGTGCCCATGCTGCTGCTGCCCCTCACTCTGTCTTCTGCAACCGGTTGCGCCTGACGTCTTGAGGGGCCCCTCTTGCGAGCCGGCACAGCGCCGACATCATCATCATATTCATATTCATATATATATATATATATATATATATATGTCTCAGCATATCTAAAGATCCACACCCACAGCAAAGCATGTCATACATCACTCAACGAATGTGTGCTTCGTTCTCGACAAGGTATCGAGAGGATAATTTTGGTCCCGCCGGGAGCCACCGTGCGCAGAGAAAGAGAGAGAAAGAGAGAGAGAGAGAGAGAGAGAGAAAAGGACTTCACTAACAGTGCCGTGGCCCACGCTCCGCCTGCTGGAAAGCATACTCTCACATTGGTAGCGAACGTCGCGCTGTTGAGCTCTCGCTGCGATGTCGCGCCACTAGGAGAATGGCGACTCAGAGGGAGTCTGCACTGAGGAGGTCTACGCCGACTTCGGTGGCGCGCCTCTCCGCCGCGGGCGCGGCGCCGCGAGCGCCCGCGGCTCAGAGGGGATGCCTGCCAACCTGCTGTTTCCCAAGGGCCCGGCGCCAGTCATCAAGTGGCGCGGAGGTCTGCCGCCCGCGGCCCCGAGCTTCTCGGGGGGGCGCCGCGCGGGGCCGCGCTGCTGGGGGCACTGGCGCGACGCCGTAGACGCATGGAAGTATCGTATCGAGCGCTACCTGCCGCTCGCCGAGGCCGCGCCGCAGTTGAGAGATGCCATCGCAGGAGAGGCCCTGAAGGAGATTATCTCCGAGCCGCCGATGATCTGGGCCGCCGACGATGGCATCGAGAGGCTCGTCGAGTCGATGAAGATGCCGTTCGGCGAAGCGGAGATTTTCCACGCCGGAGACCTGCTGGCCGCCTACGAGAGGATGCGACGGGCGAACTACGAGAAGCTCCACACCTATGTCACGCGTTCTGTGCGGGTCGAGCGGGCGCTCAAGCAGGTCCAGATAAACATTTCCGACACCTGCGACCAGCAGGCCAGAGGGCGCTGTCTGTTGAGCGCGGCCATGCTGGGTGAAGACCCTATTCGACGTATCGTGTCAGTCGCGCAGACATGCGAGTTCGATAAGATTCAGAACGCCATCGGCCGCCTGTGTCCAGAGAGGGCCGCGGCGCCAGCCATCGCGTGGCCCCGCCGCGAGAAGCCCATCGGTGAGGGTCGCCAGGGCGCGGCGGGCAAGGGCTCCGAGGCATCCGGCCGGGGGCGCGGGCCTTTTCCGCCCGGGGCCGGGGGCGCCGACCGACCGCCTGCCGCGCGGTCGCCGCCGCCCGAGGGGGATATCATGCAGTGAGTGCCGCAGAAGCCATGATCGACGATGAAGCGCCAGATGAAGGAGCAGACGAACAGCCAGCCGAAGGCCAGGAGGATGACGAATCCGCCGAGGAGGCCGTCGAGCAGCCCGAGATCGAGGAAGTTGTCGAGGCGATGGCCTCTTTGAACGACGTGCTGAGCATCGCCTCGCATCAGCTGAAGGGGGCCGCTCAAGCCCGAGGTTTTTCTCGCGGCAGGGGGGGGGGGGGGGCGGGGGCGGTCGAGCCTCCGCGTCGAGACAGGGCGCCGACCAGATCGAGCATCGGAAGAAGACGAAGGCGTGCGTGGACCGCGGAGTGCTCGGCCACTGGGCAGGGGGCTCGGCGTGCAAGCAGCGCGGCGCCGGGCGCGGCCCGGGGCCCTCCAGTTCCCGCGTTGCGGCGCCGGCAAAGGCGGGGCCTCCGAGAAAACCTTTCCATGCGTCGACGGTCTCGTCCTTTGCGCCAGCCTCTGCCGACTCCGCTTATGTCGCCTCCTCCTCGACCGCGCGCGCGTGGATGATGTCGGGGTCTGTCTTCAGAGGTGGATGATTGCCAGCGCGGCCTGCCAGGTAATGGTCCATAGAGTCTCCTGGGGCAGGACCCGCGTCGGGAGACTCGAGGCTCGTTCATTGTCCCTGGTGGAGTGAACTGTCCAGGAGAGGTTTAAGTTCGGGGAGGGCCCTGAATTCCTCGCTGAGACCCGATGGGGATGCCCGATTGGAATCGCTGGCGTGGCGCTCTGGGCTGGGTCGTCGCAGGTCAGGTCCCCTATTCCCCTGTTGGCCTCCAGCGAGTTCATGGTCGTCTTGGGGGCCTCCATAAACTTGCTCGTAGGCGCCGTCGGCTTCGCAGGGGTCGGCGTCCTCGGCCCCCCCCTCTCGAGGGCCAAGAGTGGCCGGCTTATCGTGTGCGTCTCAGATTTTCCGAGCGAGCTGCCCGATTTCACGACCTGGGAGAGCCAGGATGCAGATGTTATTTTGCCCCCAGAAATGAAGGCCGAGTGCGAGCGTCGACGCGAGCGACACCTCGAGAGACTACAGTTGAACAGTGGCACCTCAGCGAGCGAATCGACCAAGATGGGCGTCCGACGACGAGCGATGCGTTCGTTTTGACATCTCCGATGACACTTTCGATGCGCCCGACACGCCCGACGGCGCCGTGGAGATCGAGCGAACCGGGTCGAAGCCAGATCCGTCTGTGGCCGCGCAGTTGAGTGTCGACCCGCGCCCGCTTTCAGGTTCCGAGCCTTTGGCCCCCTCCATGTCCGCGCCGCTGGCTCCGCCCAAATTCCCGCCGCCGCTGGCGGCCGACGCGGCTCTCGATTCGGGCGAGATGGGATCGGCTTATCGCTCGCCTCTGGGCCCGCCTGCAGACCGCGCTGGAGGCCGGCCGCTTTTTCATGGCGCTGCTGTCGCTCAGCCCCGCCATCCGCGACGCCTTCCTGGCGGCGGTGCCGAACTTGGGGGCGTTCCTCAAGGGTTGCGCGGAGGGGCTGAAGGCGCGCGAGCTGTGCGTCCAGATGAAGAAGCCGTGCGACCGCGCGCGCCCGGATACGGGCCGCCCCACCCTGAAGGCGTATTGCGCGGGTCGCCGCGGATGGTTTTCCTGGTGCCAGCTCGCCGACTGCCAGATGAGGTGGAAGTGGCTTCCCGCGGAGCAGGAGTGGAGCGATTGGCCAGGCGACCATTCCTGGTCATCGCAGGGCTTCTCCTCGCGGCCGCCGCCGCTGTCGCCGGCAGCCGCGGGGGCCAGGGCTGCGCCGCCGCCGCTCAAGCCGAGCGCGTCATCCTCGAGACCCTCGGGGCCGATGCCGACCTACACAGCGCCGCGCTCGAATGCGCATCCACCGCCAAAGGGGGGGCCTTCCAGCCGGAGGCGCAAGCAGCGGGGGCCGATGGGCGAGGACATGGAGGAGGACGATTCCCCATGGGATGAGATCCTTCAGGAGGACTCGGCCGGGGGCGCGTGAAGCGCAGGATTGGCAACCTGAACCGCGTCATCTCCGCGCTCGAGGTGGTCAGCATCCGCCAGCAGGTCGACGAGTGCGCCCACAAGGTCAACAAGCCCACGACGTACCGCATCCACATCCTCGAGGGCTTCGCAGACATCGGCAACATTTCTGGGCGAGAGCACCTTTTCGGAGTGTCCGCCTTGCAGCCGGTCGACAAGATCTACGGGTTCGACCTCGGCGCGCCAGAGGGGCGGCGCCGTTGGGCCGTTGGCGACACGCCGTTCGGACGTTCAAGCCGCTCGTGATCATCCGGGGCTTTCCATGTGCGAAGTGGTGCTGGTACAACTGCGTGATCAACTGCCGCGACTTCCCAGAGTTCCTGGCCGCCATCCAGGACGAGGACCGACCGCTGCTCCAGCTGGTGGTTTGGGCCGCTCGCGAGCAGCAGAGGGAGGGCCGCTTCTTTGCTAGAGAACGCCGACAAGAGCCAGGCGTTGGGGCAGCCCGAGTTTGACCCCCCCTGGAAGGACCGCAGCACGGTCTGGGGCCGCGGTGACAGTGGCCCCTGCAACCTGAGGGCGATCGACGGCGAGCTGATGAGGAAGAGTCGGACCTGGGCCAGCAACAACCCGACCCTGCTCGAAGCTGCCGCGAAGCGCTGCGACCAGAACCGCGCGCGCGCGGAGGTCCAGGGTGGTCGCGACGCGCCTCGCTCGCAGATGTTCACCAGAAAGTTGGCCGACAGCATCCTGGCGGCAGTGCAGCAGATGGTGGTTGCCCGGGCACCCTCTTCTATGGCACGGGCGGCCAGCTGCGATCAGTGCCGCTGCACGTGGCAGCCGTGGAGCTCGACGCCCGGAGAGATCGCCGACGCCACCTGCGTCGCTTGGTTCGTCGACGTCGACCGGGTGTCGCCGCCGACCTCGAGCGCCGACGCCGAGGCATAGCCGCTCTGACATCCGCCGGGAACGTCGTCGTGGAGGCCGAGGCGCTGAAGGACGTGCAATGCCCGAAGCTTCGCTTCCGCGAGCCGGTCGCCCACGCCATCTTCTTCTTCGGGGGCGCGCCCGAGTCGGCCAGCGCCGACGACGAGCCGCCTGCCGAGGTGCTGCAGCCGGGCCCTTCCGCTGCCCGCGTCCATCCTGGGAGCGCCGCCGAGCCTCCAGACGTGGGTCCGGGCGCGCGGCCCCCGGCGCCGCGTCGGCCTGGCGCGGGCCTGGACATCTACGCGATCGCGGGATGCCGGATTCGGTTCCCGAGCCTGACGAACGACAAGTGCCCGCGCGAGATCAAGGCAATGGTCGCGCGCCTGCATTGTCATCGCGGGCGCGCAGGTCGCGAGGATCTACGACGCTTCTGCGCTTGGCCGGGCGCCAAGCCGGCCGTCTACCTCGTGGCCGAACTCTTGAAGTGCGACGCCTGCGACAGGACGCATCCGCCGAGTAGGCCCAAGCCCATCTCGGCCACGATCAGGTACCTTGGCCAGTTTGGGGGGCCCTCCAGGGCGACTTTTTCACAGTCGTCGACGTCGCAGGCACCGCCCACCACGTGGTCGGCATAATTTGCTGTAGCGCGCACCTGCGCCGCGTGCAGCGCGTGACCGACCGCCTTCCAGAGACCGCCGTCGCCGCCTTCTTCAAGATTTTGGGGTTGCCATTCGGCATGCTGGTGGCGATCGCGGTGGACATGGGCGGGATTTCCTGGGTCTCTTCAAGGATGAGCTGGAGTCTTTCGGCGTGAACGTGTCGCGCTGCCCGCCGGACGCACATTGGCAGATCGGGGCCGTCGAGCGCCGCGACGCTCCGTGGGGGTGGATCTGGAGACGCGCCTGCGACGGCTGCTGCGCGGTCCACGCGCCCGAGGAGGTCGACGTGGCGACGGTCGCCGTCAGCGACGCGAAGAACAACGCCGTCCGTCGTGCCGGGCGGTCTGCCAACCAGTGCGCCCTCGGCCGGACTCCTCGCATTCCCGGAGAACTGCTATCCAACGACCACGGCCTCGCTGTGGCCGCCAACGCCACCAACGCGCAGCACGTGGTGAACAACGACTACTACCGCCTGGAGGCCAACATCCACACCGCTCAGTTCAACTGCGAGCAGCAGGTGCGGAAGTCGCTCCTTCGCAAGACGATTCGCCTGCGTTGCGACCTGGACAAGCTTGCGGCCGGCCAGCAGGTCGGGCGCTGCCGCAAAGATGCGAAGAAGCGTCAAGGCGGGAAGTCCGCTCGGCCAGGCGTTGTCATTGAAGAGTTCCTCCAGTGGGGCTGCGGCCAACAGGGGCGCGGCGTCGGCCGCAGTTGCGCCCCGCCATCGGTTTCGAGCGGTGGGTCCCCGATCCCGAGGACATCGAGGGACTCGAGAGCAGCTGCGACTTCGTGCGGGACGGCCTCTGGGAGGATGAGCGGGGCGCCGGACCTCAGCGGGGGGGCCTGCGCGAGGAGCCGGACGTCGTCGTGGGCGACGGTCGCGATCTACCTGCCCCTGCCGCCAGACTTGCTCCGCCAGTTCCTGCAGGCGCCGATCTACCAGGGGCTGGGCCGCCCGTCGGAGCCGCTGCTGGCAGCGCGGACCCCGCGCCGGCCGAGCCGCCGATCGGGGTGGCCCCGCCTCTGCCCGAGGCGCCGCCGGACGATGCCAATGCGGAGTGCGAGCCCAGCCTTGCCGACGCCGTCGAGCCCGTCCAGCCGGCCCAGCCAATGCGTGAGGACGACAACGACGGCATCTCCTCCGAGGAGTTCGAACCAGACCAGGAGGACAAGCCCACGCGGCCGCGCACCGTCGAGCCATCGTCGCATCCGAGAGCCGAGCCGCCCGAGGATGGGCGCCCGCGAATCTCGACCCTCTACGCCCATGCCCCGATGACGACTTTCTGGGCAGACGAGATAGGGAGCGGCAGCGGCGGCTCGGACGGCGCCCTGGCCGACTTCCAGGGCATCGGGAACTTGAGCTCGCGCCCGATCGTGCTGGGGGAGATCGCGGCCGAGGAGCGCGACCGCTGCCAGGGGAACGCGACCACCGCCGAGCCGCGCGAGCTCGAGCCCTTGCCTGGCTCCGACGATGAGGACGACGGCGCCCCGCAGAACCGCGTGACCCGCGCTTAGAAGAAGGCCTGCGACCGGGAGGTCCCATGGAGAGAGATCGTGGACATGGACTTGGAGGGTGAAAGAGGGGGTCTGCAACAAGGGGGTTTTCAATGGGGGCTGAATGGCCCATGTATGCTCAATGTATCGTTCATGTATGTGATCGGGTACGATGTGCATCCAATGTTGGCGGTCATGCAGGGCCAGTTAATCGTGCCCGCGCGGGCAAACGCGCCGTCCATCCGTTATCGTTCATGCGCTCGGGCGTTCTTGCGTATTGCGCCTGGGGCGGCGAAGTGGAGTGCAAGTGTGTCTTGATTGTGCGATTGATGATCGTGTGTGTTCCCAGACGACGACCTGTCGACCCCCAAGACAGATTTGGAATGGGTCCCGCGATTCTCCCAAAATGTGAATTCACATTTTCCTTGTTTCCAACGCGTGAATTCAAATATGTGAATTCACATTCTGGCCCCTCCATAAAGAGTCCTACACTCAATTCCAACATGTGAATTCACATGTTCTTTTTTTTTCCAAAATGTGAACTCGCATTTTCCTTTCCCAAAATGTGAATTCACATTTTACTTTTCCCCACAATGTGAATTCACATTTTGCCCTGGCCTTCGAGATCCCCCAAACTGAGGCGCGGTGTTCCGCGTGTCAGATTGGCTGGGCAGATTTTGACACTCACCTCGCCGCTTTCGTTTCTTCCAGCCTTTTTCTGCGCCCTCAGCGCACGTTGTTTTCGTTGCCATTTCCCGAGCCCCCCGCCCCCTTCTTTCGTTGACCCTTGAGCCTCGCGCGTGGGTGCAGGCGGGGAGCTTCAATTGGTTCTCCCGCCGAACACAGCAATCGAGGATGCATCGCCCATGCGTGGCCTTTAAAGACACCATTGCCGGGGCCCTGCGCCCGACCCCCACTTTCACCCTCCAATGGGCGGCGCTTCGCTGCAGTGTTTCCTGGAGGCGACGCGCAAGGAGTACAGCAATTGGGTCAAGTGGGCGCCGGTGGTTCCTGTCCCGGAGGAGCTCGCGCAGGACGTGCTCAACCCGCCTGAGACTCGCAATCGGTGCGTCCGAGGCCTGCGCTGCCATCGTGACAAGACTTGCGGCCAAGGAGAACTTGCTGCCGAATGCCGTGGAGTCGCCGTCGGCTGCGGCGATCCCCGGCTGGAAGCGCTGGAGAGGGTCGCCGGCCACTCAGCGCATCAGTTTCTTCGCCGCCTGTCAGATCCTGGCTTCTATGAAGGCGCGCGAGTCGGAGAGCGACTGGGCCGCCTGCGACGGCGACTTCGAGAACAGCTTCTTCCGGTGGGGCCGCCAGAGGGACGATGAGGTCAACCTCGTTCATGCCTTCGCGCGACCCGCTGGCGATCGCGACGGGCGCCTGGCCCCGCCCGCTGTGCGAGGTGACCGGCAACGTCGACGGCTTCGCCGACGCCCTGGTGGTTTTGCGCCGCCACGCCCGCCGCGAGATGTACCAGCTCGGCTTCGTGAGCCACGGCCTCGACGCGATGTGCTTCCTCAAGTGCGACAAGGACCGACTGGTCGCGGTTGTCCTCTGGGCGACATGTTTGCAGTCTCTTCCAAGAAGCTTTTCAATTTTTCCGAGCTGGAGAAGGCCTTCGCGTGGGGGAAGATGGACTTCCTACCCGCCGAGCTCAGCTGGCGCGGCCAGGGGATTAACCAGTGCGAGGACGGACGCGTCGTCATCGCACAGAAGGAGTACAACTCGCGAATGGGGTTCGCTGACTGGCGCCGAGCGCACCGAGATGTTGAGCTGTATCGGAAGTGGGCAGTGGCTTTCAGGGATTTGCCGCCCAGACGTCTCCGCCTACGTTTCACTGCTTCAGAATGAGGACCCGCAGATCACTGACCTCAAGGAGATGTGCAGGGCGATCGAGCACCTGCGGGCCACGCCGGAGGTTGGCGTCGCCATGCAGCCGCTTCGCATGTTCGACGCCAACGGCAGCATCGACGTGATCACCGTCGCGTTCGGCGATTCCAGCTGGGCCAACGCGCAGCAGCTCGAGAGCTCAAGAGCCAGACGGGGGCGATGGTGGTCTGGAGTAACCGTGAGGCGCTGACGGGGTCAGCGCCGGCCTCCCCTGCTGATTGGTGCTATGTCCGCACGCAGCGCCAAGTTCGATCTACCCTAGCAGCTGAGGCTTGCGCCGCCGACGCAGCCGTCGACCGCGGCTGCTACGCCTCGACCTATTTGAGCGAAGTGTTGACCGGCAAGTCATGCGTTTCCTCGCGGATTTCAGGCCGCGAGCCGCCAGCTGTGCTGCTTTTTGCCATTGCCGCTTGCAAGAGTTTGTGCGATTGTGTAGCAAAGGAGACTCCTAGCCTCGACGGGAAACGCGCCCTGCTGGAGGTGTTGCCTAGTCAGACGAGCCTTGGTTTAGGCTCAATGCAGTGGGTCCCCACCACGAACATGATTGCAGATCCGCTCGCCAAGATTTCGGATGGGCTTCGCGAGACTCTTGTCCAGGGGGTGATGGATCCCGTTATACAGCTTTTTGTCTGATGCAGTAGCCGAGTTTCCAGGCAACAAAAGAAAGGTACCAGTCTGAAGCGGGTGCCAGTTTTCCTTGCATGCCCATTGCCTGTCAACTCGCGTCAGGGTCCTCTCGATCCTGCCCATGCTGCTGCTGCCCCTCACTCTGTCTTCCGCAGCCGTTTGCGCCCGAAGTCTTGAGGGGCCCCTTTTGCGAGCCGGCACAGCGCCGACAACATCAGATGGTCCAGCATAGCTATACATCCACACCCACAGCATAGCATGTCATACATCAGTCAGCGACTTCGTACCTCGCACTCGACAAGGTACCAAGAGGATAGTTTTGCTCCCGCCGGGAGTCACCTTGCGCAGAGAAAGAAGGACTTCACTGACAGTGCCGTGGCCCGCGCTCCACCTGCTGGAAAGAAGTGCTCTCACTGTGTCAGTTTGTGATTGACAAAAGGCCAACCCCCCTCCCCTCCGGGCTGATGAATAGACCCCGCGGGGTGCGAAACCATTTTTTCAATCGCGCGCGCCAGGGGGTCGTCGCTGGCGCCGCCGACGGGATCGTGTACCCTCCTGCATGACAGCCTCAAGACGACTGCCTTCCGTAAAGAAGTTGTTATAAGGGTCGTACACGTCCGGGGCGAATGTTCGTTCCCCCTTTCAGGCGTCGTCGTCGTCGTCGCCGCCGCCGCCGTCGTCGTCGTCGTCGTCGTCGTCGTCGTCGTCGTCGTCGTCTTCTTCTGCTTCGTCGTTCTTGTCGTCTTCGTCTTCGTCTTCGTCGTCGTCGTCGAATGCACCGGGCCTGCGCACCCCCCCATAGAGCATCCGCAGTGCGTCGTCGTCGTCGCCGCCGTCGCCGTCTGCCGTCCGCCGTCCGTCCTCCTCGTCCTCGTCCCGTCGTCGTCGTCGTCGTCATCGTCGTCGTCGTCGACGAAGAAAGCGGCCGCTGGAAACGGGCGCAGGCAGGGCGGTTGACGGCGGCGACGACGGCGACAGAGGGGGGAGGACTACCCGCTTTGCTCGGGTCGGACGGAAGGCTGGGGAAGGAAAGGGGGGGCTGCAAAGCTTGCTGCGCGCAGCTGGTTTGGTCGCCCCGCCGAAGGGCCAGTCCTCGACGCATTGCCGCATTCGGCGCCAGGAGGCGCTTGGAAAATCGGCGACGTGAGTTGCTTGGCAGATCCTAGCCCGCCATGCCCGCAGGACCGCATCGGTTCGACAGAAAGAAGGGCGCCCCGGCTCGCCCTTGCCTCCAAACGCCACCCCCTTGACCCTCGTAGGCGGCCGGGCGTCGGCGCTAATCACCGGCGCCGCCCCGTTGATTTTCAATCTGGCGGGCGCCACCCCGCGATTCGCCCGAGCAGGGAACTATTTTTTAAACGCGCGTTCCCCACGGATTTGTTAATCACAAGCTGGCATCAAGATGCGAGTGTGCCGGGACTCGGGTCTGCCGATGTTTTTGGACGAGCACGTCCTGGATTTTGACGGTTTAGTGTTCGTGGGATGTTTGCAACGGGAGGTCGCAACCGTTTTCGCATTGGATATCGTCATTTTCATGATGGCTTCGTCAGGCCAATTCGAATGCCCCGAACCCGAGTCTTACGTTTCCCCAATACTTCGTCCTCCGTAGCCATTTTCGAACAAATTTCACGGTTTTCAGCGGGGCTATAGGGCTACAGGGCTATAGAGCTATAAGGCTATACGGCTATAGGGCTATACGGCTATACGGCTATAGGGCCATAAGGCTATTGGGCAAGAGGATTGTTAGGGCTATAAGGCTATTGGGCAAAAGGGCTATGGGGCTATTAGGACAATCGTGACTATAGGGCTATAAAGCTATAGGGCTAGAGGGCTATAGGGGTATAGAGCTATACGGCTACAAGGCTATATGGCTATAGGGCTATAAGGCTATTGGGCACCCGGACACCCGGGCACCTGGGCACCGGGCCTCCGAAATCGGCGACGAATTTCACCTAACCGTATGAATCCGTTAGGACCCCTACAGAGGCAAGCTCTGCTTGGGGAAATAGATAGGGAGAAGGGTGCGGCATAAATCAGCCGAGCGGCTGGCCGACGCCTAAGCTGTAGCAGCCGCAGCCTCGCGCTCCCAACCAGCAGCCAGGGCCGTCTTCCGGGTCCTGCATAGCTGGGAAACTTGCCTTGCGAAATGCGGGGCAAGTTCTCGCGGACACGGTGGGCGCCCTCGGGCCTGACCACAGCATACGCGATTAAGCTACCTGCGGCTGCTTCGTCGCACGTGGTGTCACAGTTGCCAGGTATGACAACGCGACCTCCCACCTTTCGGGCCACGCCGCATTGGCCCAAAAGGCGTGGGGGGAGTCCAACCCCCAACAATGACACCCGGATCGGCCCCGCTGCCCTGAGAATCACTTCCCTGAGAAGCGATTTCGCCGAGCTGGCCAGATTCCAACTCAAACTGAAGGAACAACCAGACGTCGTCACAAGGAAAATCCCTGCCAGAAAAAAAACGCCCAAGCTGCCACGGGGA